CCTCATGTCCACAGGGCACAGGAGAGAGGTTTGCCTTCCTTTGGGTTCCTTGGGACAAGGCTGTGGAGGGGAGGATGATCTGCTAGGAAAGATGAGGGCTTTGAGGGGAACCTTACAAACTGAGAAAGCTTAGGAAGGATGTCTAGGATGAAATTTATATTCTTCTAGCTGTTTTAAAGCATGTAGGAAAACAAGTCCCATCATGCAGGGGTAAGTTTTCGTGAATAGCTTTTGGACTGAAGGTTATTCACAGCTGAGTGGTTTGATTCTCCAGTGCTAATTATTTCTGCCTTCAGTTGGTTCATGAGAGTAAAAAAGGATTTTTTTTTCCTTCCAAAAGGGATAAACAGTATTGAAAATCGGAGAACAACTTGTTGGTGATGAAGAAAGTTTGTCAGTTAAATGTATTAAATCTGTAGAAGTTTTCCCTGAATTTCCTCAAATACCTTCCCCTTTTCCCAAATGACATGCAACACAATCTGTACACGCACAACAAACCAAAGTCAACATTTATCTACAGGAAAAGACCTGCAAATCAGGATCATCAGACAGTTTGTTCATGAAAAGTACCTCAGCCCTTATCCTGGAAGTAATAAAATTAATTTATTCCTGCAGCTGATCATTTGGACACCTTATAAAGTAAAACCACTCTGAGATAGGAAAGCACTGCAGAGTGTACATAAACACATGGGCCTTGGTCTTGTCACTGCAAGTCAATGGCAAAGTGCCCATTGAATTACAGCCTGGAGAAAACAGCCACTGGAGCAATGAGCTGTAATCTGCCTTAATCCATAGTATCAGCTGTTGACAGATACATACAGAGTGCTAAAAAATGTTAGCAAAGCAGTAGGGACTGAGAAACAGCTCTGAAACTTTCCTTATCACGTTTCTAAATTCACCAGAGGTACCATCCTTATGATGTATGACAAAACATATGTTTTCTTTCCAAACTTGCTGGCAGATCTAACCAAAAGTGTCATCAGACTATCGGGAACTGACTAGTGGAAATGAAGCTCCTGTCCTGCTCTTCCTCGTTCCTTCTCAGAGATGAACAGAAAAGCCCCGCTGGGATCTGCCCTGCTCATATGTTCTGCAAACCCAAGGTCTTTCCAGCAGGAGCTTGTTCTCTCTTGGATTCTTCAAAATTTTTGGAGCAATTTTAAAAATGTTATTTGATTACTTATTTACTTATCTAACGATCAATCAATCTATTTATTTATTTATTTCCCTCCTGCTTGAACAAAAAATTAAAGAATTGGGGCTGAACAACACATTTCCTGCATTTTGGGACAGCTGCTCTTTTCCCTAAAACCAGTAGTGTCAGATAACACAGTGGAGGAGGACTGGTCCACGACACCATCTGGATGGCCATGCTGCAGCCCCAGGTCCTGTGTCCTGCTGAAATTATCTATTCATAGTAGGCAGATAAGCTGTAAGGTTTGTTTTCCCATTGCTTTGTAATTTCTGAAGGGATGCACATCTGAATTTTGGCACTTCCCAGCAGAATTGATCTGACTGACTGAGGAAGCAGGAGCAGGGGAGCAGATGTTATTAGGGGCATCTGTCTGGACCCTGAGATGCTCACCCTGCTGAGTGCTTTTTGGTGAAACAAGTCAGAAGGAGCATCACCAAAATGGTCTGCTTCTCCCCAACCAGCCTGGAGCTGCTCTGCTTGGATGGGATGAAGTGGGTTGGGATGGGATTGGATGTAAGCACACACTGCTGTGTGTAGGTGTGGTTATTTGTACTGTCCATTATGTCCATACCAACATACGTCAGATTGCAGGTTTTGCCATCTGCTTTCCTCACAGTTTGGCATGTGGCAGAGTGACCACGCACTCACTGGACCACAGACATCTTATGAGACCTCACCAGAACTCTCATCTTCTAGCACAATTTAAGTTATCTGCTGACACTTGAGTATTGGAAGTAAGCTACTTCAAGAAGCAATGGTTAATAATAAAGATGTTTTGAACTCTAAAAAGGTTGTTCTGCCTGCAGGACCCAACCTTTAAAAATATTTGAGTTTAAGAATTAGAGTGATAAATACCTTTTTAGAGATATGGCCTGATACCGAAGGACCAGCCCTTAGTCCTGGATTAGGCTATGTGAGAACTGCTCTGCCACATCTAGATCTTGCCTCTGTTGCCTTCTCCCAAGGGAGCTCCAAGGCTAGCACCTGAAGCAAAGCTTGGTGTTTCAATAAACGCTATTAATACATTATTAATACAGATACTGTGCAGCAAACTATCCCAGCAGTCACAAACCTGCAGATGCATGGATTCAGTGAAGCAAGCACAGCCCAGGCAGAGCAGTGTGAGCCTGCCTGCTTGGCTCTGTTCCTTCAGCTCAGCATCCAAGTAAGCCAGACACAATCCATTGGCTGCTGCAGCCCTCTCGTGGTCAGCTCAAAGATAGAATTTATACGTGGGAAGGCAGCATGTCTTAAAAAGCACCACTAATAGCTAATAGATACCATATTAAAGCAAGAGTAAATATATAAATAAAAGGAATAGACGCTCAGAATAGTACTTGCTCCATGTATACAAGAAGAGTTGTTGTTAAATGACTTGTTAAATGACTGGCTTTTCAAGAATCAAAAGGAAAATTGCAGCTAAAGCATTAAGCAGTGGTGTTTCTAATGGGGGTGCCCCATTTCATCTCCCTAGGCTGTCGTTGAACAGTCTGCTTTGAAGTGCTCCTTTTCTTTTGAGCATTTGTGCATTGATTTACAAAGATATGAGTAAATTTTGTTCTCACTGATTTTCTTTTTCTTTCAGCATCTGCTTACTGGAAACACATCTATATGCTCAGGAAACTCCACAGAGGAGTGAGACCATAAGTGCTGTTTGGCTGGGGAAGATCTGGGGTAACATATAAGGTAGGTGGTACTTTAAAGCTTGAAAAGGAAGCCTAATATTTGCTATGTGTATGTTTTTATTTTTATTTTACCAAGGAGAGGCAAAGACTTAATTAACACCTGGAAATAAACGATGGGAATTAATAGTGGAGGGAGGATGTTGATTGGAGCAGTGCTAACAGCCTTCCACCAGGCCAGCCATATACTCCCCACCCAGTGCTGTGAGATAGCAGAGGAGCCAGCTATGGAATAAGAACAGTATGGATCAAAACAGAAGGCTTGTGCACAAGGCACAGGATAGAGGAGGCTCTAAAGCAGGCTCTCCAGTGTGGATTAACATTTCTTAGACCAACAGCAAAGAAAAAGTACTTACAGATCATGAAGCCATGGTCCTTCCAGAGAGGTGAAGTCAAACTACTGTTTTTCCACAGCTTTTCTCTTTGTTCCATGGCCCAAAGTGCAGAGTGAGGTTTTGACTTACCTGCATGACCATCATAAGCCTATTCATTGTATTTAAGTAATATAGGTGCTGTGGTGATGTCACCCCAAGGGCAGGCACAGCACATGGGCTGCAGCAATGCAAATGTGTCTGCACACATCCTCAGGGTCACTTTTCTCACTTACAAGAAGCACTTAGTGTTTCCATAAAATGGTACTTTGCATTTCTCTATTTTTAACTTAATAACCTCTTCGTTCTTCATTTTCTCTAAGCCCACTTAGACAGAGCAAGATGTGACATTTTCTGTTTCAAAATGGCTTTTATTTTGTATGGAGAAAAAAACAGTAGAAAGAAAGTAACAAAATTAATACCTGCCTGAACGAGTGCAGGGCAAGTATTATCCCGGAATCCAGAAATTCTCCAAACAAAAAGGTGGAAAAAAAATGTGAAGACGTCTATATTACGAGATGCTGAGGTGTTTGGGGTAGTAAATAACAATGCTGATTTAAAAAAAAAAAAAAAAAGAAAACCACCAAAAAACCTAGTGCAGAGCAGCGTGCTCCTGTCAAGGTGCACTGAGGCACATGCTTAGTGCAAAGCAGTGGGGATACCTTGCAGATCTCGTCCAGGTACTGTTGTAAGAAACCAGTGCATATATGCTGCTGGCATGGGGGCATCATATGGTGTCACATGGACACATTTTCAGGTATGTAAACATGTCGTCTGCATAGAAAGCTGGAATTCCCAGCATCAAAAGCATAGAGAGGATGCATACCAGAGAGTGGTGGTCAATGGCTCAATGTCTGTATGGAGATCAGTGGTGTCCCTGAGGGGTCAGTGCTGGGACCAGTGTTCTTTAACATCTTCATCAGTGACCTCAATAACAGGACTGAGTGCACAATTAGCAAGCTTATGGATGATGCCAAGGTGTGTAGTGCAGTCAACACATCTGAGGGATGGGATGCCATCCAGAGAGACCTAGACAGGCTTGAGCAGTGGGCCCACAAAGCCCAGTGCAAGGTCAGGAACCTGGAAAGTGGCAACCTTCACTATCAATAAAAGCTGGGGTATGATAGGAAAAAGTACAGCCCTGCGGAAAAGGACCTGAGGGTACTGGTGGGTGCTAAGCCAGACATGAGCCAGCAATTGCCCTCAGCCTAGAAAGCTAACTGTATCCCGGGCTGCATCAAAAGAAGCATGGGCAGCAGGGAGAAGAGGGCAATCCTGCCCCTCTACTCTGTGCTGATGAGACCTCACCTGGAGTACTGTGTCCAGATGTGGAGTCCTCAGTACAGGAGAGACATGGACTTTTCAGAGTGCATTCAGAGGAGGACCACAAAAAATGATCCAAAGGATGTCCTATGTGGACAGGCTGAGAGCTGGGGGTGTTCAGCCTGGAGAAGGTTCCAGGGAGAGCTGAGAGTGGACTTTCAGTATTTAAAAGGGATCATTGAGAAAGAAGGGGTCAGCCTCTTTAGCAGCTCTGCTTTGTTATAATAGGAAAAAGGGAAATGGTTTCGAACTAAAAGAGGGGAGATTTAGATGAGATATAAGAAAAAGATTTCTACAATATAGGTTGTGAAGCACTGGCACATGTTGCCCAGAGACATGGTGGAAGCCCCATCCCTGAAGAAATTCAAGATCAATTCAAGGGCTCTGAGCAACTGATCTATCTGTGCATGTCCCTGTTCATTGCAGGGAACTAGGACTAGATGACCTTTAAAAGTCCCTTCCAACTCAAACAATTCTGCAATTCTATAATAAAATACTTTCCATGCAGGCTTGTAGTATAATACAGCTTTTTACATTCTGAAACAAATTCTGCCGATACTGAACAATCCAGGGTGAACTCTTGAGCTCAGCAGAACAAAGAGTTCATCCTTGACATCACAGGCCACTCCATCCTCCCAGACTGGGATGGATGAACCCTGCTCTACTGCCTGCCTATCTCTGCTTTGCCATTTGGACAATTGCATTGCCCTACATCACCTCTGCAAGTTGGTCCAGGCTCTAGGATTCCACTACGATCATACTGAGATTGTTGCAGAAAATGACTCTCCCATCCTTCCTGCTGCTGCATTCGGGCTGGCAGAGAGCTTCCTGCAGGCGGCTCCGCAGAGCTGCTGGTGCTGTGCCCAGGAAATTTTTTGTCCCTGTCAGGAAATCCATCATATGGCCTCCAGCTGGGTCCCCCTCAATGAAGCACTCAGTGATGTCCCAACCCGATGGGAACTCATAAACGTGGTACTTGATGCTGAGCTTCCTCAGAACTGCCGTGATGCTGTCGGAGGTGATGTAGTGGCCACTGTCAGTTGAAGGCAAGCAATGCCTGTACTTCTTCCATAAGCTGGCCCAACCGCTGCTGTCTGTGGATGGGAGGAAGATCAGGCACGTCTAAAAGCATACACCTAAAAAGCTCATTCCGGATCAGCCTCCCCACTACTTCTGGTGGAAGGCTTAATGCTTAACATGGGGAACTGTGTTTTATTCACCATACCACCAGCTGGGGACTCGAGAATGACACACTGGAAAAAAAAACAACACTTTTTAAAAAACAAGTATGGCAATATTATAAGTGTCTCCTTTTCAAAGCCCACAGGTCTAGGCAGCTCCCTTTGTCCTGCTTGAGTCTTGGCCATTGCTGTGTGGAGAGAAGAGCCCCAGAGCTCAGGCTGTCTTTGCATGGTGCTCATTTCACCATGAACAAGGACTGGCCTTCTTCCAGGCACAGCTGCTCTTCTCTCTAGGCAATAATTTCACAGAGTCATTCATCTACTTTAAATGCAGGGAAGCAAGAGCATGCAGGTTATATCCATGTGGTTCCATCAGACACTGGGGTCCAACAGTCCAAGCTCATGAAAACATTTGTTTTGTTTAACTGCTATAGAATTAGTGCTACTGAAATCCCAAGGCAATTATAGCTGGCTTTCATACTTCATAGGAACAATGCAAAAATGGGAGGCCTCTCTTACCTGACAGAATTATGATCAGGAGTTTACCCTGATGGTTGAGGCAGCTGTGGAAAAACTTGATGGTGTTAGGAATATCTTCCACACGGTACAGCATCTGGAAGGGAGAGCTGCATGCAGTTATTCCTACTCCAGCCCTGCAAGGCTTGTGCAGAGCTGGTGCTTAACACCAATTCTCTGACGCTTCCCTCCCATTGCTGCCAGTTTTGTGGCTGGGAGATGTGTGCATCCCTCTAAGTTTTTAGGCAAGTTCTTTGCGCAGCTCACCATACTCACACCATACTCACCAAGTAGTTAAAACCAGCAGTACTGAATATCCTACCTGAATCATATGGATGAAGTCAAACTTCTTGTGTGTGTTTTTCTCTTTCACCTGTTGTTCATACTCTGAGGAAGTAAGCTGGTGCCAAGTAAAAGAGACCCCCTGCAGATCTGGGGCTCGATTAACCAGCTCTGTTTAAAAAGTAGAAACAAAACACAAATTTCACAGGACAGCATAAAAAATGATCATACAAATCAATGGTCTTGGCCATACCCCAGATGGCAGAGGGGCCCGAGATGCCTCACCTTTGTAGGCAGCCACGTGCTGTGGGTTGGGCTCTATGATTTCGTTGTTAATAAGGACCTCTGGGTGTGCAGCCTGCAGGATCTGGATCATTTTTAGATCCTGTTCACCTATTCAATAAACACAAATCTGTTATTTTTAAAAACACTTGAGTGGTGATGAAAGGATGCCAGTGCCCCAGCTGGCAAGGTAACATTATTTGCAGATAACACCAAGAATAAGGAAGAGATAAGCAACTGAGCAGAAACCTACTAATGGTAATATTCTTTACAATAGGAAACATAAGTTTTTGAGAAAAACACTGTTAAAATGAGGAACAAGGAGACAGTCAACACAGCCATGCAGCTTTGACGTTGGTGCTGCCCTGGGGAGGTGACAGCTGCTTTGTCACAGGTGTGACACTGCTTGGAGAGCTGGGGATACGCAGTGGGTCAGTCCCCTCTGGAGTCAGGCTACATGGTCTGGGCATCCGTTATCCAGCTGTTGTATTGGAGCTGCAAATAAAGGCTCACAGATTTGCAGCTTGAGCATCACGTAATTGCCCTTCATATTTAGTTACTGCTGCTCCTCCAAGACAGTCTGAGCTCTGGAGGAATAAGCATCAGCCTGTCTTGTCCTAGGAAATCCCCAGTGCCTTTTGAGGTGATGCAGGTCACCTCTGCTCCTACCAAAAAGGCCATGATGTGCTAAGTGTTCAAAACTCATCTGGTTCACGTGGGATTATGGAAAGAAACAGCAGAGATGATCACTTTGAATGGATCTCCGCGAGAATCCTGTTTGCTGTTTAGAGCGGGGCCTAGAAATTCTCCTGTCCATGCAAACTGTACACTCAGGGCACTCGACACCAGATCCTGTACCTTCTCTGACCTTCTGGACTAACTATGACAAGAACTGACATCTCTGATAGGTGTTATAGCAAGTAGAATTCAAGGAGGGAAATTCCAGCCAACTTAAATATAAAGATGCTGATGATACAATAATGATGGACCGTGGCAACTCAACACAAGCTGATGCTGCTCAAGATTTGTCCTATTCTCAGGCTCGTGTGCCTCCTGGAGAAAAGCAAGGAAGCTGCCAGCAGCAGCCCTTCAGCACAAGCCACACTGGGACACTGCTGAAGCAGGAGTGAAATACCCTGCAAACCACAACCCGCCTGATCCTCACCAGCAGCTGACAGCCAAGATGCCTGCACCAGCCATGGGGAACATGGGCTGAATGAGAAAGCGTGACTGGGATCAAGCAGCAGCCTTTCAGGATGCAGAGCAGGTCACAACCCCCATTAATGGTTCAGTTGACTACACTGATTCGGGCCGTGTGAAATCAGAGTCCAAGCCTCAGAAGGTCAGGGATCACACCTGACCTTTTGCTCGGTGCCATGCTGGCTCACTCCCATGCCGCCCGCGCAGGTTCGGCTCAGGCAGCGTTGGCACTGCAAGATGGAGGCCTGCATCCCTGCTAGAATGTCTTAGGGCTTTTACTTTCTCACTGAAAGTTCTTCTGAAGAGGAAATAAGGAAAAATGTGGGTAATGTAAAGGGTTTTCCTTTCCCTCATGTTTTCTTGGAGTCAGACAGAATTTCGGTGTTACAGTACATAATGAGAAAGAAGTGTAATTGAGAACTGAATGATTTCTTCCTCCTTGCTTTCTCATATGCTACAACATATTCCCAGCTGGGGAAAACAGCCTCTGTTATTTTTGTCTTACTCAGGAAAACAAGCAGACAGAGTGAGAAAAAATGCTTTCACTAGAAAGTATTAACAGTTATAATTCAACTGAAAATACTTTTTAAAGCAAAATCAAACTGATAAATTGAATTGCTACTTCTTTTCTCTACTTTTTTTTTACTTTTTTTCCAGATTCCCTGGGAGCAAAGCCGGATGTTTCACTGTTCATTTAGAACAGCTTTAAAGCCATTTCTTCCAAAAGATTTTTCATCTCTGGGGGAAATACCATTTGCAGCTAAACTCTAGTAATCTCTGGATAAAGACAGAGCTGTAACAAAGAAACCCAACCTGAAGAAGCTGGCTAGGTGCCATGCTGGTGGTTGTGCCGGCCCATGACCATCTCCACAGCCCCTCGTGGCCCTGAAAGCAACATAAAGTGGGAAGAGCCTTTGGGTGGGAGAATCTAGGATGGGACCTGTGGGTGGGAACAACCTCCCAGACACTCAAAGTCTTTCCAGTGAGGTTTGAAGATGCTTTCCTACTTAATCTAATGAAAGATTCCTTGATTTTAGAAACATGAGGCCAGATGACAGTCATCAAGAGATTGCCACGAGAAGTAGTGTTATGAATGCATGAACAGTTCTCCCCATAGCTCAAAACCTGGGTAATACTTTCCCTTTCCCCAAGGACCACCATTCCCCAGCATCTGCTGTGCTGTTCAGCTCCTTACCTGTGCCGCTCCCCACTCCCAGAATGTTTATAGTCGATTTTCCATTGCCGAGACTGAAATTACAAGTACATGTTACTCAACCACAGTGTGTCACATAATTCTATATTTTAATTATAACATCTTGGATACCATATTGGCCCAATTTAACTGAGACGTGCCACATGAAATCTGAGCATCCCTTTGGAACTCAGCTATAACTTACTACATGGCAGGAGCTTACCCTGTATGAGCAGGCTCATATTTCAAAGTACAGTACGGAGCAGGATATAGGATTTCTATTCCCCTGCCAGAGTTCTCTTCAAGCTATGGCTGACACCATGCATAAAGGCCTCAAGAAAACCCAGAGCGAGAAGTTCCCACTGAGGGAGCAGAGCTGTGCCTGGCTGAGGCTGTGGGGACAAGGCAAAATGGGGCAAATCTCTGCACCCTCGGGAGACAAGTTTGGTTTTCTACACAGCATATTCACTAGCATCCTACTAAGCTGCTTTATTTTGCATTGGTCCAGCAAACAAAATTGTTTAAAATTCACATTAAGAAATATTTAGAAATATTTCTTCTAGCATTTCCTCAAACAATTGTTTTCTTTATTGTTACCTCTATTGCATTGGATAGATTGATTGAGAAACAGATCAATAGATAGACAGATATAATGTCTGTTCTGGAGTTATCTGCCTTTTTTTTCTCAAGGGAGAACACACTTTCCACAATATCCAGCAATTAATCCAGACTTGAAACTGTTTTCTTGTAGCTTGGATCTAGCCTGTTCTGAAACTATCTACAGTCACACAGGCTTAGTATATTACATCAGTACTTCACAAAACTGATTATCATTTGATGCTTAAGCAATGCAAATTAACTTGGGATAGAAATAAGGAGTCTTAGGGGACTGAGGAAACCAAGAATTAGTCATTACAATGGAATTAGAGATGTTCTTTTGGACTGATGTGTGAGGAAGTCCCAAAAGTAGGAAGAAAGAACAAGGAAGATTCATTTTGGGGAAAAAAAGGTAGATAGATAGATAGATAGATAAGTAGATAAAGAGATAGAGGAAAAAAGGAAAAAAGAAAGAAAGAAAGAGAAAAAGAAAAGAAAGAAAATTCAATACACTTTAATCCTTGGAAAATCAGCTAATGAAAGCAGATGGACATGCAAATAAGGTCTTGATTCTTTCTTTTACATAAGCAGAGAAGAAGCACAGGATATTAATTGAAATTGCACTTAAACAGAATATTTGAAAGGCTGCTGTTAATGGAATCAAAACTTAAAAGCATTAGAAGTTCATTCGTGCCCCAGAAAATCTGTCATACTCCAAGATGTTTGCTGACCCAAGGTCACAGATGGCCTTACCACCTCAGTGGACACGCTCCTTACCCAGCCATGATGTGTGGCATCACTTCCTTGTTGAACTCATCCATGCACTGGTGCTCTGTTGAGTGATCCAAAAATGACTGAAAGGCCTCTACATACTCCTCAGCCGTGAGACTTCTCATGGAAGGGATGACATACAGCTCTTGAGAAACAAATATGAATGGTGTGTTAGTAAATTCCGGGCAAATGAAGGATCAAAGCACTTACCTCGTGGAAGAAACCAAACCAAACCCAGCCCAACCCAACAGAAGCCAGAGATTCGGGAAGATGGTGCAGAGGTCACACAGCCCAGGAGCCATCCATGCACATGGGCTCATGTGAAAACTCAGTCTGTTGACACTAAAGATACAAAAATTACTCTTTGATGTCCTTTGACACCAGCATGTTAAGCAATAGTCATTACTGCAGGTTGCCCTGAGGAAGATGTACCCATAATTTCCTGGAGGTGTTTAGCTGGATGCTACTTGGTTTGCAGAAAGGGAGTGTATTTCTAGCAAGAAGGTGAAGATGATTGCTCAGGAGGTTCTGGAAGGGTTGTGGTTCTCACACATGCTGGATAGGATGAATGAAACCCCCAGCTGTTGGCACACTTGCTATTAGGGGTGATGCACACCTGCAGCTGAAGCAAAAATAGTTAACCCCATGTGCCTCATTTCTGGCTCTCACTGACATGGGACTGCAATACACTGCCAGGGAGGTGAATTCCCACTAGGAGCCATGGCTTGTGGCCATGAGGGCAATCGGCAGCAAAAGCATTTCAGTTGGATGGGCTCATACTTACACACCAGAACTAAGATTTCCAGCTCTGAACCAAGGCCCAGGCAACTCAAGGGGCTACAAGCAATTATTGCAAAATCCAGCTTTCCTGATGTCTCATACTAAAGATGTTGCTCCTGCCCGGGGACAAGCACTGGCCAGCTGCTTGAGTCTGAGGAGCAGCGATAAGACTAAGACTGCAGGCTCACTCAAAGATGCCATTCAGCTAAATGCTGTCTCTAGGGTCTATCTCAGACAGATGGCTACATCAAGGATGCAGCGGTAGTGCCAACCTCAACATCTGAGATCAGCACTGAAAAGGTAGTGTTGAGAAGGGAAAAAAAATCAGCTCCTACCCTAATTTCCTCCTAACTGAAGTGAGGAACCTTACACGGATGCTTATGCTGTTTCAAAAACCCGTGTCCCTGGCTGCTGTGTTTCTGTGAGGTATGAATAGGGATTCAACATCCAGCCCAATTGGAGGTACAGATATCAATATCTATCTCAGATTGATCACTTGAATACAGTGTAGCACCCTGTTTCTTTCTTTTTCTTCCTTTAACAACTTCCAATTCTGTTGCCAAGAGAATTAAGATATATTTATAGTGAATGGGCATTTTACTTTTATCTCTTTTTTTGTTTGTTTGTTTACTTCCAAATACCTGAATTATCGTGTGGATCTGCCAGAATCTCTGCTTCAAAGTTCATGCTGGGTAACCTATTCCTGTAAGGAAAGTATAGTACTTCGGTTATTTGAAGAACCTGTATGCTTTTTTGAAGCTGCATTGAAAATGCAGAACAGAAGGAAGATACTCCAGGACAAATTTTCCTCGTTCGATAATCAATACTATTTGGTGCTCTTTTACTATAACAAAGAAAGCTAAAAGCTCTTGATCATACAGAATTGCTGGTGATGGTGTGGCCACCTGCACCAGTGCTTGCCTGAGATGTGTGGTGGAAGATTCTTCCCTCTCTGAAGAATCATTCACCAGTCAGTACAGAGGAAGGCATTAGATTAACTGTGAGACTTTTAGTCATGAAAGGAGTAGAAGAAATAGCAGTGAAATTACAAAAAGATGATAGGGAGCTTCAGCATCTGAAGCGCGTTTCTTGTCCCGATATTTCAGGGTTTGTTTTGCTTCTGTTTCTTAATTTCAGGTTCTCCTGGCTGCAGCTGTTACCTGGGTGATTGGTAGAATCCATAGGACTCAGGGGACAAAAAGCAAAGGAGTCATTGGACCATTACTATTTTCCATCAGGCAAACATTTTCATTCTTAGTTTAGGGGTTTTTTAGTATGTGAAGATTTCCAGCAATGAAGTCACCTCTCCATTTTCCTTTGACAATGTGCCACATCTATGGAAGAGATGTGCAAAAGGAAAGTATGAAATGAAACTGAAGCAAGGACCTCATTTCTGCAAAGAAAGTTTTAGGGTGAGGCTACCTACAAAAAGGAAATAGTTATCTTCTGCATAACTGCATTTCAATGTGGAGATGAACAGCAAGACATAGGAGTGATATTCCCATATAACCTTGGTTTAGCCACATTGCTGCTCCCCTAGCCTTGCCATTATGAAATGCAAAAGCAGTAAGGAGCCCTAAACTGCCCCCGGTAATGGAAAAGCTCTTGTGCAAATAAGAAATAAGCCAGGAGGTGGAAAAGAAAAATGAGAGACTTGTAATGGTGGCTTTAAGACATGAGCATACAAAGACTGTTAGTAGGTAGCATGGAAATGGCCACGTGTGCAAATAACGTGCTGCTTTGGTGAATGAAAAAAGACTAAGGTGTCCCAGAAATACTTGGAGACACTGGGGTGCTGCCAGGCTTCTGTAAGAACTTCCCATTTCATTTGAGTTCATGATAAAAACCCTGTAGAGAGAGTTTTCAGGCTCCCACAAGGTTGATCAAAGGTCTCAGTTCTGTCATCTCGACCTCAGATCCCCTATAAAAGGCCTTACAGAAGTTCTGCAGTAATGAGCCTGAACTTAGCCCCCCTCCATAAGCTCCAGCTTGGCTGCAGGCCAGTTCTTCAAATTTCCACTCAACCTTCTGACCTCTTCCATCTCTGCCTGTCGAAACAGAGGACTATTTTGTCCTCTCAGCTGGCTGAACCAAGCAAGGTGATTTTCAGGCTAAATCTCCCACCATAATACTGAGAGATGGCATGTTTTTTCCGGGGATGGTCTGGGGATGCATACTCCATTTCTAACAGGTCAAATGTTTCCAGCCACCACAGAAGACCTGCCAGGAGGCCTGGACAGACTGTTCAGTACAAGCATTCACCAGGAGGGAGGATGCCAAATTAACTCTCCTACTGAGGTTTTCAGCATTTCTCTGCAGGCAGGGTTCCTAAGACTGATTAGCACTAATTGTTGGGAAGGTGGATACCTTTTGGGAGCACTGAGCATGGCAGCCAAAGGCTCCCCCTGGCAGCAGCAGGTATAGAGGCACAAGGAGTCCCTCTCCTGCATCCTTGAAGGCTGAATGAAGCCCTGGAACACGAGCCCAGGATCTCTTTCTTTCCATCACGTGCAAACACAGGAGGTCTCTCTTCACAAAGCCTCCCTCACCCCCATCCCTCCCAGGATGTGGGCACATGTGCTTTTATTCTCAAATCACACATGGCTGCTCATGACACAGGGACCCCTTCCCCACCCGACCTACCTCTTCATCTCAGGGGTGGGCTCCATGGTGTGGGCTGGTGCCAGGGCTCCCTCAACCTGGCCGTGTGCTTGTGGCACAGCGTGGAGGCCGGCGTATCACCCAGCTCCTAGGTGAGCATTGCCACCAGCACCAGCCTCTTGCTCGACCTCTGGGGACACTGCTGGTGGCCTCTGGCCAGCACCTGTTGGGACAGCAGCGTCACTTGAGCGATGAGGGGGAAACCCGAGCCCTGCCCAAGCGGTGACGTCTGCCGCGCCGTCCTCCTCGTACAGACAGTGACATGGGAAATGCCTGGGCAGGGAGCTGTGGTGTTTTCAAGGGGAAATAAAAGGACAGAGTGAGAGCGTAAAGCCTTTACAACTCCAGTGGAAGTGGATGAGGGATGTCAGCCGCCACCGGGCAGATCGAGAGGCTATGTTATTTGCTTTTTAATTTGCTTTGAACTCCTTCTCCACTTCCCAGCCCCGCACTGCCTCCAGCCAACATCTGAAGTCCCAGCTGTCCCCAGAGAGGAGAGTGGGCACAGGGCAGGAGCAGGACCCCATGTTTCTGCTCCACCAGGAGCCATACAGCCAGGCCCCCTACATTCCCCACCATAGCTGTCCCGCTGTTCCCCCCCACTGCACATCTCCCATCCCATCCTCACAGGAAGCACTGCCCACGCCACGCAGCCCTGAGCACCCCACAACCAAACCTTTCCGAAGCAACAGGAGCTGAAGAGGAACCTCCAGCTTCTGGGAGCTGCGAGATGCTGAGAGCTCGTTGTGTGCTGACTGGAAGCTAATCCCTGCCCGACCCGTCACCCGGCCCAGCACCGAGCTGGCATTAGTGCACAGCAGTAGCCTTTGTTCGGCAGCACAGGAGACAAGAGAGCCTTGTGCACAACCCTGCTGCAATGCCAGCCCTCAGGGCAGCCGGGCATGTTGTGCTTTGGGGTGTGCTGGCAAGGTGCTGCCTTGATCTGCGCTGAGCTGTGTGTTCCGTGCAAATAGGAAGACAGGTTTTTGGACTCTGAGGGCAATGTCTAAAGCTAAGGCTTTAGTTCCTCTAGAAGGACAAAGCAGCTGTGTTTCCCCACACAGCTGCTGGTCCTCCAGGGCTCCACAAGGCTCAGCATCACTCACACAGTGCCATGTCCCCTCCAGCTCCATCAGACTGCAGAGACAAGCCCTGGACCTGCACCACCAAATACTTGCAAGCCTTGTAGTTTGGAAACTCATGACCCATCTCCCCCAGAACGGAAGCATGGAAATCCATTTTTTTTTAACACATCCTTCCTGCCTTTCCATTAAAGGCTGGCTGCTGGCACAGCTCTTTTAGAACGCTAAAAACACTCTTTGTCAGACTGTTTGACTAGAGTTCATATCTCTCATGTAGCTGTAATCATAGAGTGAAGGAGAGGGCAGAGGGGAGTCTGACATGGCCACCTCGAGAAGGGCCGTTTGTTTCAAGGCCTGACCAGCTTTTGCTCTACAGACCACTAAGCATTAAAAATATATATCTATGAGAACAAAGACAGTTATGGTATAGCATTCCCTTTACTCTCAGTAGCTCACAGGACTTGAACAGGAAAAAACACGCTCAGAATTTCAATTCCTATGTTCTTGTGCTGCTTCCAGCACAAGACAGCTGCAGACTGGGAAGGGCTGGGACCTGCTCATGGCACTTCATCAGCAGGATTCAGAACACCTCATCTCAGAGCAGAGCAAGAAGTGGTGTACAGAAGAGCAGAGGATTGCTAGGGTCTGTCCCTGTTAGACAGTCAGCAGAACCAACAGTAAGGCTGTGGAGAACAATCTCTGAGATACGCTCCTTCAGCAAGGCTTGTGGCTGAAGCAGAGAGCCTGGAAACTTTCCAAGGAACATTCAGTAGAAAACTGAATCATTTACAGGTGTACTGCAGAAATACATCACATCCAGGTGCATTCCTGATGCAGTCATAGCACTGTTCTCACTCACCTTTTGGCAGATTGCAATATGGTTAACAGAGGAATCATCCACAAGAAAGGATCTATGGGTGCTGGATTTATTCTGCTGAACACAGAGGCCACTAGATGGTGATGCAAGGACGTTTTTTCCGCTCTTTCTCTTCTCTTGGCTTCCCATTAGTTGAGCTTGGCCTTTCCTGGTAACACAGGTGGCTGTTGTCTTTTTCTTTCTGAGTGCTGACAGAGGTCATTTGGCAGCAGATCGCTCGCTGCCCGCCTGTCCTGCATGAGCCAGGCTGCAGTCAGCAGTACAGCAGTACGATGTGCTTGCTGCTGGGGGAGTGTGTTTGAGGCTCAGCACAGGGAAGAGCAAAGGACTTGGCTTTCACTTTTCGGATTAGCCTTCTTTTGTAGGCTGTAGAAAAGAAAAGTATTTTATATTAAACACAGTGGGAGAAAAAAAGGGTTTTCAGGAAACTGGTAATCTCTGAAAATGGCCACACTTTGGAACAGTTACTGTGGAAAAAAGTCAGGAGATTTTCCTCAGAGTTAGCAGTCAGATCTCCAGGCAGTATTTTCTTCCTCCTTTGAGACCAGTTATTGTCCTGCAAATAAGAAGAGAAAGTAGATGAGAAAGATTGGATTGGCAGCAGCACAGTCAGTACTGGTCTGTAGGGCAGATGTATGCCATGAGCACATGTGATACAGGGACACACTGTACAGGAGCAATGCTGTGGGGTGAGCAGAGGTGTGTCCCAGCTCTCCTAGCACATCTTTAATTGTACATTTGGTAAGGGCAAACTTGCTAAGGGAAAATGGTAATATTAAATTTCCAGCTTCTGCAGTGTTGTGGGACACCCAAAGTGTATCAAGGGTTCAGAACATAGAAGATGAATCATGGGATCATGGAACCATGGAAAAACCAAGGCTGGAAGGGAGCTCAGAGATCCACTGGATGCCTTGGAAGAAGCCCAGGCACTGGCTCACTTAACAGCAATTTCAAGTAAGCTTTCAGCAGCTGGTGGGTAGGGGAAAGGTAGTTGGAGTGCCCCATTCTGAACAGCCACCTCAGAAAAGGCTTTGGTAACAACTCTGAAAGCAAAATAATTTTATAACAAACTGATAAAACTAGAATATTTAGGAGAACCGTATTTAAGTGACTAAATGTCCTACTTACTCATTACGCCTAAAGCAAGCAGCTTAAGCCATCAGCTCATACCATGATTTCAGACCTGGGGTGCAGAGGAATGGGAGGGAAACTGCTTTGTGACTTAAATTGCTTCTCCACCAGCTGCTAAAAATTGATTGCCAGTTTCCATTAAACAGAGAAGCACCATTGGTCTCCTGCTTCCCCAAGCAGTGCCAGTCCCTTGGGTGCTGCTGCTAAGCCATGCCCTACACTGCAGTGCTTGCAGCAGCCCCATGGTTTTCCTCTATTTTTCTCCCCCACTGCTTAGCAATCTCCTTGTGGTGACAACAAAATGTCTGTTTTCCAGGAAACCATTTGAGTGTTATGGATTAGCTATGGTAGGCACTTGCAGACCTCCATAAAGCATGTTGACACACTCTCCAGTGTATTACTAACTTGGCTGAAAAATTGATCAAAACTGATAGAGTTGCAGGGCCCTGAGTCCCTTTACAATCTGCTACTGTGCTGCTCAGCTCTGGCAGAGGTAGGAGAAGCCAAACCTGGTTTCTGTGAGCACAGTCTGTGTTTTGCGGGGTGTTTGTGCTTTGTTCCATCATAGTCTCCTCTCTGGGAAGGCAGCCAGGTGTCAGCTCCCTGGACATTCCCATGTCCCAGTCCTACCAGAACACCACCTCCTTCTGTTTGCTGCTTACAACTTGATATTCACTGCAAGCCCAAGTGAGGGCTGAATAGCGATATCACAAACATGGTGTCAGGTGGGATGGGAAACACTGAGATAGCAAAAGAGGGATCAGAAGTGGAAAAGATAACAGAGCTAAGCATGCTACCAGAGCCAAAGTGCCTCCCTGCATTCATCCTCTGGTGCTCTTTCTACTTCTGATACAGCTTATGGACTCCAGTGATGTTGTTTAAACATATGTTTGACACAATATCAAACTATTAATACTATATATTCTTATTAGAGGAAAAAGATGCCTTTGTGGGCATCAGGGCAATGACAGGCCATTGCCCTTATTCTCCCATTCAGCCCCAAAATCTCATTTCTTTACCCCAAAGCAGTTTTTGGGCCAATTCCTTTAGCAGGGCTGTGATGACTGGGCAGATGTGATGGATCATGGAATGACCACCACCAAATGTCCACAAAGGCAAAGCTCAGCTCCAGCACATTTTCATCTGTTGCTGGACTGTAGCACAACTCCAGCTTTCATCTCTTTCCCTTTCCTCTTTAAACAACACATAATCAAGTTAGCTTTCCTATAGAGAATGTACATTTGATCTTGATTTCTAGTATCAGCTACAGCACGAAAAATTAAAATTCAGGATTTGTTACCAATGCTTTAATTACACAACGTTATCAAGTTGTCACCAGGCCTTTAATTATTTTTCAGTTTATATCTAATTTCCCACATTGTGCTTTTGTGATGTTAAGGTAGATCTGCAACTGTAATAGAAAACGTCCAAGTCCTTTATGATGAGGTGGATTGGAAATGACAATGTTAATAAAATTTACTCATCTCCTGTGCCAAGAGCCACCACGGATACAAGGTTTATCTGCAGCTGGCATGCTGTTTGTTTATGCCCTTTTTGTACCACTGAACACATAATAATTTATTCTCCAAAAGAGCAGTGGCATAGGCTGCCCAGGGAGGTGGTGGAGTCACCATCCCTTGAGGGGTTCACGAGCTGTGGAGATGTGGCACTGAGGACTGTGGTCTGTGGGCATGGTGGGGTGGCCTGGGGTTGGACTTGGGGATCTGAGAGGTCTTTTCCAATCATCTATAATTCTATATTCGGAGAGAATGTGCTGGCTCCATGTGCTGGAGACTGTTGCCTATTTTATACCACCCTTCTCTCTCCTAGCTGTCCCAGCAGCACACAGAGCAGTATCTGAACCCCATGCAACGTGCTCTTTCCATGCCAACCTAAAGCTCTCTCCAACAGCGTGGCTCACAATTGTTCCCCAAAACAACAACTACACTGCACAGATGTGGATCATTAGTGCTTGAACCAGAACTAACTTCTCAGAAAATTGTACTTATTGCAGGACAAATTGAGTCTGCTACGGCAGAAGCCAGAATAATTGCTCAGGGGACTGTAGGGCTTATCCAGCAGTTAATTCATTATTTGTACCTGCTCGGAGCCAGGATAGAAACAGCAGGCAAGGCAGCAGCAAACAAGGTACAAACGCCAGCATCTCAGGATCAATTTGTTCAGATAAAAGCTTATTGCCATCACGGCAAGGTTGCAAAACACCTCTACAAGCGCTTACCAGTGGGAAAATAGGAGGGAGCAGCTTCACTGCAGTCCTTCAGCTTTTTGGTAAGATGTGTGAGCCCTACAGCTGCGACCCGAACACAACTAATGCTGTGCTTTGGGCTTCACTGTGCCACAGCCACCCCAACATCAGGGTCTGGAGGGCAGATCCCACCTTGACAACAGGGCCAGGCCAAGGCATGCAGAGAAGGAGCAGCAGCAGGAAGACAATGCTAACAAGCAGCAACACCAACCGCATGGCACAGCTGGGGCTCCATCACAGCTCCGTGTGCTCCTTGGGATGCGGCTCTGTGCAGCACTACAAGCCCCCTCTTTTCACTTGGACCTGAGCATGGCAGGGAGTTAGCAAGGTGTAAGACTTCATGTGCTTGGTGTGTTCACACTGAATTTACTACAATATACTCTTTTAATACTACAAATGCGCAATTTTGGCTAATAGCCATATAAGTCTTAATACATCACCTCAAACAGATCCATCATTGCTGAATATTTTTGCAGCTCTTCCCTCTACAACACAGGTACAGGATAGTTATTTTTTATTTTGGTTGAGAGAATGCATTAACACAATCTTGGGGAGATTTATGCTATTTGTTCTGCACCATTACACAGCCATTTTTACTAAAGCAAGCGATAATTAATCTGATTGTCCCCCCTCCCGTTAGGTACAGTGCAGACACGGCCATTTCTTTGCCCTTTGAAAATGAACACTTCCCACATGGCAAAGCAGTTATCATGAAGGGAGCCTCTCTGGCTCAGTAAGGCCCCCAAGACTGCACTCTATTAGCACAGCCATTTTTCAATCAGTTACCAAATGGAACCGAAACAAATGCAATAGGAATTCACGAAGCACACTAGGAGAAATACTTACAGCTAAAAGAGCAACTAAACCAACAGCCCCAACTTCAGTTGGCTTTCGTCATCGCATGGAGTAATTTGGGAGCACCAACATTTCAATGCACCAGGTTTCCATTCAACGTCTGTTAACACATATCATGCTACAGGGGGATGTTTTTACGTGGGAAGAACACAAGTGCTCTCAACGAAATGACTCAAGTGCAGTAAGGCATAAATCATCTCTAAACCTGTATAAAGGATGCTGAAGTCACAAACAAGGCATAAAATAATATAGAGCTAGAAAGCGCTTTTTCCTTATTAGGTTGATCAGAGAAAAGCCAGTCTGGCAAGCTTGTTCTATCATGCAAATGGATGTGGTAAAAAAAAGGAAATGAAAATTCTGATCTATATTCATTGTCTGGATGTCAGCGAGGGAGAAATAAAAGTTCCACTTTACATTTTGCTTTGCTTCAGAAAGCTGATCTGAAGTTCCATAGGAAAAAAAAAAAAAAGTAATCAAAGCTGATGAAGAAGCAAAAGAAAATCAAAGATAATTAACAGAAACAAAGCAAGCATCAGACACGGTGTCTAATATTAACAAAATACAGAACACAGAACGTGCTCGACTGCACCCAGCAGCGGCTGTAGGCACTGACAGCACTGTAATGGGCAGATTTATGGGTGGATTTCTCTCCCAAAGGCCCCAGCACCAGCCTGGCTGTCACCACTCCTGTCCTGATCACCGCAAGACCCCATCCCAGCAGCAGTGGGGTTGAGCCCCAGGCATGGGACAGTATTTTCTGATTATTGTTTTCCAAAATTTTCCTTTTCTCCAGACTGAGTAAACCCAGTTCCTCCAGCTACTCCCCACAAGACTTGTGCTCCAGACCCCTCACAGCTCTGTTGCCCTTCTCTGGACATACTCAGGACCTCCATGTCTTTCTT